CAAAATAGCATAGGAACCTTGGCTCTTTTTGAAAGGAACAATCTGGCATAAAATTTTTTATGCTAATGATGATTTTATATAATGCTGATATTTTAATAATTTCTTGAATACTTGAATAAAATCAAAAAATTTTAAGGAAAGAAAATCCCTAATGTGTTTATTAATCTATGGAGATGTTTTTAGTTTTGCATATTTCTTGGCAGACAACTTTAGGGTTGAAAGACACTTTAGAAATTAAATGATTCACTTCATCATTTTCGGATGAGAAAACTATGAACCAGAGAGCTATGAGGTTAGCACAGGGTCACACCATATTACCTCCTCTAATTTATAAAGAAATTTTAATGCCACATTAATAAAAAAAAGTTGTTAAGACATGAGTAACAACCTAACTGCCAATTTTCTCCACTGAGAATGCAACTACAAGGGGAAAAAAAAAGTCTCTATTATATAATACAGTATTAGTATTATTGAAAGCAATGTCTGGAAAATTATAGTGGCAAAATCCGAATTTCTTAATAAACATTCCCGGAAGTCCAGGAATTTCTAGAAAACAGATGTGAATTCAAAGCCTTTAGATTTAAAGATCAGGATTCAAAGTTCACAGATTTGCTGTGCATTGCTACTGCCTATGCTGCCTGCATATTGTTGATTCTGGAAAGTTCCTCCTTGATTACAAGGCAAATTATGTGTCTCAAAGAGAGCACCTAACTGAAGCTTTCTCTCAGTTGTAATTCAAAGAATTGCAATAGCATTGAAAAAAGGAGTACTTTGTAGGGATCATGAATGGCTTTCAAAACAACTGTGTTAGAAACACTCTGGGCTCACATTAGCGAAATTCTTAATGTTCTGTGGCAGAAAAGAGCCCAAAATGCAAATAGAAAACTACAGTTTTTATGCTAGTCTACCACTAACTAGGAATGTAACCCGAGGCAAAACACTTAATTTATCTAGTTTTGTTTCTACATTGGTAAGGGGAGGTTCACCTAGGTGATCTCAGAATTCAACTGTAAAATGCTGTGATTCTTTTCCCCATGGATGTGAAAGATCCCCTATATTTCAGTCTCTAGGAAAACCTTAGGTGTGAAGAATTGGCTAATTAACAAGGCACTAATCCTTTTTGTTCTTTGAGGTGAGCTCTGGACAGAAACGTGGCACTTTTTTGACATTCCCTTCCTTCCTTCATCTCCTGTCTGTAACAAAATCCCATTGTCTTTTCATCTAAGTTTCATCCCTCTTCTCCATCTACACTATCAACACTTTAGTAGTCATCCTTATTTATTTACTTATTGAGTTGAGGTCTCACACTGTTGCCCAGGCTACAATGCAGTGGCATGATCATGTCTTACCACAGCCTTGACCTCCTGGGCTTATCTTTCTGCCTCAGTCTCCTGGGTTAGCTGGAACTATAGGCACATGCTATCACACCTGAATCATTTAAAAAATTTTTTTCGTAGAGATAAGGTCTTGCAATGTTGCCTAGGCTACTCTTGAACACCTAGGCTCAAGCGATCCTCCCACTTCAGCCTCCCAAAGTGCTGAGATTACAGGTGTGAGCCACCACACCCAGTCAACTCATTTCTGAACCACAGGGGCAAGTAACTGCTTTTCTTCTTCTTCTTTTTTTTTTTTTTGAGTTGGAGTCTCACTCTGTAGCCCAGACAGACTGGAGTGCAGTGGCTGCTCCCAGCCATCACAGCCTCAACCTGCTGGGCTCTGGCGATCCTTCCGCCTCAGCCTTCCAAGTAGCCGGAATTACAGACGCGCGCTACCACGCCCAGCTGATTTTTTGATTTATTGTAGAGATGAGGTCTCACCTGCCCAGGTGGGTCTCGAACTCGCGGGCTCAGGCAATCCACTCACCTGAGCCTCCCAAAGGCGCGGGATTACAGGCTGAGCCACCGAGCCCGGCTAGTAACTGCTTTTCTAATGTTCCTCTCGGAGTCCGCTCTGCTGCTAGAGAACTCCATTATGTTTTTTGCTAAGATTTTCATACCCATGGGAGTGATCCTTGATTTCTCAATTTCTCTTATTCAACAGCATATTCAACCTGTCAGCAAATCGTGTTGGAAATTCATGTCCAAACTATAACCATTCAACACCATCTCCCCTGCTATCGCGTGGGTCCAGGTAAGCAATACCTTCTGACAAATCTCCCTCTTTTCCCCCTTATCTCTATCGTCTGCCCCAACACAACACCCAAAGTGATTCTGTTAAAACATTAAGTCAGATGTCACTCCTCTGCCTAAACCATTCCTTACAATGGCCTATAAAGCCTAGGTGCCCTAGCCATTTTATTTTTTTTTTCAGTCGGATTCTCACTCTTTCACCCAGGCTATAATGCAGTGGTCACACTCATGGCCACCGCAGCCTCGACCTGCTGAGTTCAGGCAATCCTTCTGCCTCAGTCTTCCAAGTAGCTGGAACTATAGGCTTGAGCCACCAGTCCTGGCCTCTCTAACTGCATTTCCCATTCGCCTTTCCCTTTTCCCAGTACATAAACCCTCTTACTGTCCTTTCAGTCTGCCAGGAACATGGCCATTTGCAGTAGTCACCAGGACAGCCCAGATAGCCATTTCTTACTTATTTTTGCTGTAGTTAATGCCTAATTATGTACTTGCTTAAAAGTTCTGACCTGCATGTAGCTATGCTTGCACAGAGTTCCCCAATGGTTTTTCCTTTAGTTTCTTTATCTGCTGTCACAGCTGCTTAAGTCAGGTTGGCTCACATGCCACAAAGGATCGTGAACCTCCCTTTCCAGACACCTGAGGAGGTCCAGACCTGCTGTAAGACCAGAGCAGACCACGCAGACTACAGCAGGTGACCCCAGTTACCTTGACCTCATTAGCATATCATTATAATGGTAAAAATTCTCCTATAGGAAAATCTCCACCATTTTGTGTGCATGCAACATACAGAGAAGCTTATTCGCCAGGCACAGTGGTTCATGCCTGTAAACCCAGTACTTTGGGAGACCGAGGCAAAAGGACTGCCTGAGCTCAGGGCTTCGAGACCAGCCTGGGCAACTTGGTGAGAGTTCATCTTTACAATAAATCAAAAAATAAGCCAAGCGTGGTAGTGTGTGTCTGTAGTTCCAGCTACTTGGAAGGCTGAGGCGGAAGGATTGCCTGAGCTCAGCAGGTCGAGGTTGAAAGATACTTTAGAAATTAAATGGTTCACTTCATCATTTTCGGATGAGAAAACTCTGACCCCATGAGCGTGCCCACTGCACTCCCACCTGGGCAAGAGTGAGACTCCGACTCAAAAGAAAAAAAAAAAAGAAAGGGAAGGATTAAAAGGACTCAACTACCAGCAACCAGTAGCCATGGCCTTGCTAAGCTATGGCCAGACCATGTTTTCTTAAGCTTTGGCCTCCTCCCCTCCCTTGGGGAGGTGAATCGCCTCTCTCTCTCTCTCCAATTTACTTTCTAAATAAACTATATTTTCTAATCTAACTTCTGTGCAATTCTTTGCATCTTTCATGTGGCACCGGATCGCACACCAGACACCCACGCCCTCGCGGGCCTGACCTAACATTCTGGAGGCCCCAATGGGAGTGTGACCCTAACAATTACTGAATGAATTATAGGAGAGCTGTACCAAGGAAGCACTACATTATGAGGAGATGGAGTCAGACACTACATGTCTTCTTTGTTTACTCATAGCAAAACAAAACTTGACTGTCTTCTTAATTTTGGGTAGTAATAAATTCCACCTTTTGTTAACTGTGGCATGTCTTAAATATCTTGTAAGATGATTTAGACCTCAGGGAAAGCATTCTCCATTACTAACGCCTTAATCTGGTCACCAGGGAATGAATCCCACTGTATCTTCCAAATGTTATCCTACACATTTGGCAGTTCTGCTAAGTAACATAGAAGGAAGTAGGATCTCCTATCTTAGAAAATTCCTGGTCTTGACTTTTCGTGCTCAAAGTCCTCAAAATGCTAAGACTAACTCCAACAGGAACTATGTGGCTCTTACATATACTAATGATAGTGGCGATGAAATAATAAGCTAACATCCAATTTACCTTAAGTAAGAGGTAGTCGATATTCCTTTCCCCCCTTTTTTCCTTTTTTTTTTTTTGAGTCGGAGTCTCACTCTGTCGCCCAAACTGGAGAGCAGTGGCACGCTCACGGCCACCGCAGTAGATGGAAGCACGGGCGCGCGCCACCACGCCCGGCTAATTTTTTGACTTATTGTAGAGACGAGGTCTCGCCAAGCTGTCCAGGCTGGTCTCGAATCCCTGACCTCGGGCCATCCTCTCGCCTCTGCCTCCCAAAGTGCTGGGACGACAGGCGTGAGCCACCTCGCCGGCGCCCTTCCTTCCTATCAGGAAGACGCACGCCCGGGAAGCCCGAGAGGGCCGTCCCCGCCCCTCGAGGATGCTGGAACGAGGTCTGGGGGCGGCCCCGCCTCCCGTGAGGTCTTGGGAAAACAATGACAGCCACCCTCCGCGCTGAGCTGGGGCTCCGCGACGGTCCCCGCGCGGGTC